AAAGGCCTTGACGTGTGCAGGAACGCAAGAGCGGAGAGGGTGACCATACAGGATCTGGGCAGGGGAGCGTCCTGTGTGGGTGGGAGTATTATGTAACTCCAGGAGTCCTTTGTCAAACGCCTCACAGTCTATGTTGCCTGAAGGGGCCACCTTGAGGATGGGGTGCTTGACTGTCTTGACCGCAGCCTCAGCATGGCCGTTTGACTGTGGGTAGTGGGGTGTTGACACGATGTGGTGGACTCCCCAACGCTCCAGGAATCCTGTGAAGTCCCGGCTGGTGAACTGTGGCCCACCGTCCGTCCGCAGACGTACGGGAACGCCCAGGTCACGAAAGAGGTGCCGGAAGTGGCGAATGGTGGCCGCGGACATCGTGTCCGAGCCACAGATTACCACCACAGGCCAGCCAGAGAGTCGGTCGGCGACAACTAGGAAATGTTTCCCAGCTGTGCTGAAGAAATCAGCCGACATGGACTCGAAGGGCCTGGTGGGTTCGTCGTCGCACAAGAGGGGCTCTTGCTGTTGACTGGGCTGCATGATCTGGCACGGCTCACAGGCACGGACCGTATTGACGATATCCGCGCCAATGCCGGCCAGTACACAGCCTGCCTTGCGCGGCGCTTGGTGGCCTCTGCTCCACGATGGCTGTCGTTTAAGCAGGCCAGAACGCGACGACGGAGAGCTGCAGGGACGACCACACGGGCACCATACAGGACGAGGTCCCCATCTGCGTAGAGATCCTCACGTATCTTCCAATACGGGCGTAGGGCGTTGTGGAGGTCAAAACGGTCGCGAGGGAACCCAGTCCTCACACTCTCCAAGAGCTGAGTGTAGGAGGGGTCGTCGCGTGCCGCGGTCCGTAGTTCCTCAAGGGCCAGATCGCTGTCGGGTGGCGACACTGAGGCCTGGGTGCTGGCGAGGGACTGTACGGCCTGCAAAGTGACGATGTTGCTGACGGAGAAACCGGCCTCGGTGCTGAGCGGGAGAGGGCATCCGGGATGCACAACTCCTTACCTGCGCGCCAAGCCGCGGTGAAGACGAAGGCCAAAATCTTCTCCTTCAGGCGCTGAAGGCGGGCATTCTCGATGGAGTCCAGCGAATAGTGATTAAGAATGGGGACCAAGGGCCTGTGGTCTGTGATGAGGTCGAAGTGCTGTAGGCCAATCAAGTAAAATTTGATCTTCGATAAGGCCCATACCGCTGCCAGCAGCTCCAGCTCGATGGTAGCGTAGCGAGACTCAGCATCGGTGAGGAAGCGAGAGCCACACTGTACGAGCTGGTGCTTTCCTCCACCGTGATCCTGGAGAAGGGCGTAACCAACCCCGTACAGGCGCGAGGCGTCTGTCTGGAGGACGGTGGGGAGCGCTGGGTCGAAAGTAGCGAGGATAGGTGGACTTGACAGGGCCTCCTTCACCTTATGAAAGGCGAGGTCGTGGTCAGGGGTCCACGTGAAAGTCCTCTTGGGGCTCATCAGGGGCGGAGAGGCCCGGCAGCGGCGGAGACGTCAGGAGAAAATTCTGCCAGCTGGTTCACCAGGCCCATGAAAGACCTGAGATCCGTAAGGTTGGCAGGTTTTGCAAAGTCCGCTATGGCGCGAACTTTCTCCGGGTCCGCAGCAATGCCATCCCTTGAGAGTCGGTAGCCGCAGAAAGACACTGCAGGTGCGGCCAAGACGAACTTCTCGGCATTCAGAGTGATGCCGTGCGTCCTACACCTGGTCAGTACCTCGTCGATGCGGCGAAGATGCGTCAGGTAGTCCTCATCGTAGAGGAGGACGTCATCCACTACCTTCACGCAGTTGGACACGCTTTGAAGTGCCATGTCACCACGGAGACAGAAGGCGTCCCCCGTAGCAGCAAATCCCATAGGGCCACGGCAGTAGCGGAAGCGTCCGTAAGGCGTGATTAAAGTGGTCAGTGGCTGATCCTCCTTCTTCAGTGGGATCTGCCAGTAACCACAGAGGGCGTCCATCGTCGAGAAGTGCCGTACCTTCGGATCCACACTCCGTATAGCTGCAAAAGGTGTGGGTGAAGGGTGGGCGGGACGGGACACCTGGCTGTTAAGCTTGGACAAGTCGGTAGTAATTCGCACACCACCGTTAGTCTTAGCCACAGCGACTAGAGGGTGGCACCCTGGGCCACCATGGAATCCAGTTCCTTCTTGACTGAATCCCTGAAGGCGAGAGGGATCAACCGGGGAGTGTGTATGGCAAACGGTTGGCCATCTTCCCGCAGGTGTATCCTCATAGGTGGACCCGCCATAGCCTTCAGTGGCGCGGTCCGTAGGGCCTCCTTCGTCACCAGCACATCCGAGTACTCCTTCAGGAAGTAGCCCCTTGCGGCTGAAGGAGACGTCTCGCTGTGAAGAGGAAGCAGCCGTGACTTGGGTGGAGGCGGGGCGGGAGTGGACCCAGGTTCTGGGCCGCTCTGTGCGGCAGCACCAGGCGCATCGCTCGGCGATTCACGCACCCTGCTGGCAGTGTACCGAGCAGCTGGGATCTGCTCAGGTAAGTCTCTGGGCACCACGCCTAACTCCTTGCAGTGGTCCCACGACAACAAGGGTGTAGCGAGAGTAGGCTGCACGTCGATCCATCCGTGACACGACCTGTCGCCATAAGTGATCTCCGCTTGAAAGGAGCCCACAGCATCTGGCATCTGGGAACCGTCAGCATTGTAGTACTGCAGCTGCGGCGGTGGTCCCAGGTCGCGTTTGGTGAGGCCCAGTTTCTGGAGGTGCTTCAGGCCTATCACCGTAGTATCAGCGCCGGTGTCCAGTATCACCTCGATGTGACCCAACACATCACCGTGTGTGACGGCGACGCGGATGGTAGGGGAAGGGGTAGCCCTGGGGCGTGTGGTCGATTCCACCCTCCTGATGTGACTCAGCTGCTGCTTGGGGCTGCGTGGGCCATCTGAAGGGGGCTGCAGGCGAACCACCCCGAGGGAAGTGCGCTGCTTTCCTCCTCGTCTCGGGCTTTTGGGCATGGGTTGGCGGCAGCACTTGTCGTAGTGTCCATAGCGACCGCAGGCCTGACACTTACAGCCTCGTGCAGGGCACCTGTCTGTGTTAGACCAGTGGCCCCTATGGTCACATCCACAATACAGGGCGTCGGCGGCCGGGCATGTCTTGGGGCTGTGCTGCTTTCCACAACTGCCACAGGAAGCACTAAGCGGAGGCGTGGAAGAACGTGTGGCAGCCTTCGCGATGTTGGCCGCCTTCTTCCCCTTCTTGTACTGAGAGATTGCTCTCACAGCAGGAGGGGCCCGTAAGGCAGAGGTGGCGGACTTGGTGGCCTCGTATGACCGACATTCAGTCACTACCACCTGGAGTGTGGAGGAAGCGTCCAGGGGGATGAGTCGCTGCACCAACTCTTCCTACCTGACACCTGTCAAGATCCCGTGCTTGATCCAGGCTTCCTCACATTCCCGGCTGTGCGCCTTGCAGACGTCGATCTCCTCTGACAAACTCTTCAAGCGTACAAAAAAGTCGTCAAAGGATTCGTTCTCCGCCTGCTTGCAGCTGGTGAAGGCGCGGCGACGCAAAGCCTCGTTATTCCGCCCTTTAACGTGCTCCTGTAAAAGGTCGAGCACATCTGTCACTGAAGAGGTAGAATCGGGAGGTACTTGCAACATGTGCTCCAAAACTCTCTGGGTCTCCAGCGACAAACACATCCGCAGTTGGATGAGCTGTTTGTTTGGAGGCATGCTGTCAAGGTCCACCATCGTGGAGTAATCTGTCCAACGCCGCCTCCACTCACGAAAAAGCTGAAACGTGACGTCTGGTGAGAGGGCGGGTGGGGGTTGAACAGATGCCTTGGGAGCTGTTGGAGTAGCAAGAGTATCTGGAGGATGCTGGTGTGGTGGAGGAGGGAAGGTACTGGCGCCTTGGTGCGCGATTGAGGGAGGGTGGGTTAGCGCCAGGGTCGCCAATATTGCATCAAAGCACGCCTTTTCCTCCTCTCTTCGTATCTCCTCCCTCTGAAATTCCATCTCTCTGCGTCGCTCGTCCCGGTCGTCCATCCACCTCAGAATTGTGGCAATATCCGTCACTGGAGGTGGAGGGGGAGGTGGTGGGGAGTCGTGTCTCCCATCTTGACGTTGTCCCTTCTTACCGCCCATCTTAGTGTGTGCTTGGACTGCACTGTTTAGTATATAAAGTGGCGCCTCAACAGCTCGAACCACATATATATATGACATAAACAGCGCAGAAATAACGCATAGAGTCCACTGTTCTGTCCGTGAGTGAGTGCGTGCGTGCGTGTGTGTGTGTCTGAGACAGCATATGCACTTCATGGTGGCCTTAATGCCGGTGGCTAGAGACGCCGCGGGGTTGAGAACGTTAGTGCCTCCCCGGATGTCACACGAGAAGGGTGTACGCCTGCGTGCTCCGTGGGTACCACAAATTACAGGCCAATGCTCAACTCTCAGCTCTAGACACACTAATACACTGACACTAACACTGCCACCGTCACTACAACGCACTGTGACGGCGCAACACTGCACGTTGCGGCAAAACACAACACAACACACTATGAGTCGACACGCACATCGCCGGCTAACTGTCCATTGTTCACAGACTTGTAAGTCCACACATCCTACTCACTGCGCCATGGAGGTTCCAAGTGTTCCCTGAAGAATGCAGTGATGGGTAGGGAAACACCGGGTAACACTGAAGTCCATTTATTAAAGGATAGGAGAAATACAAGTGGTGACTTGCGTGTGCCATGCACGGCCCACGAAGTCAGACTGAGACTGCCTTGCCATATGGCAGCCTCGGGGCAATGTTGCTACATAACACGTGCAGTGTTGCCACGTAATTATATACATAGATGCTACTCGGCACAGTAGCTTTTATACAAGGTTGCTACTCGGCACAGTAGCATAGATACATAACCTACAGGAAGCACAACATCTGTCTCCAAGGTCATTTTTACCGTACAGTTAATAAG